CTATAATATATATAGTAGGTATGTGATGTTTTCTATCGCACAATAATTATTTGTGCGGTCTATTGACTATTTATAATAATATTATACATATATTAATTATTATTATCAACTGGGGGGGAGGGGCTCATGACATAAATCAATAATCTAAAACAACAATTAAAAAGGTGCTCTGCTGTACAGTAGGTTACAAAAAAAAAATAGACTTAATAATAACAAAACAACTAAAATATTTATTCTAGGTTTTTTATTATGTAATTTCGTCCAAATTCACGAGCCTCCACTGGTTGTGCAACAAATATGGTGTGAGAACAGTAAAGTTGTCCCTCGCAAAACAGTTTTTGCTATGTTGTACATTTGTAAGACGGAGACAAGTACAACACATGCGGGTGTGGCTTCCTTTTAAGCTGGTATTTATTTAAAATAAAAATAAAAACATTAGGTATGCATTACTGGAACGCATATAGCTTTATTTATAACAGACATAAAATAGTGATTTTTTATGGGTATCTAACTAATTTATCGGTATGTACGTGTTTTTCAAATCGAGGAATTTTAGTTGATATAAAATAATGTGTTCAAATAACACTAATTACTTTTTGATGTAGGCAATTAAATAGTGATTTTGGTATTATTGTATTGTGTTTGTGATATTCAATTTAAGGAATTTTAAGCCCAAATAAAATAATCAGTCGATGACTCTTTATCAAATAATGTATGACTTTTACATTTTAGTTAATGTAGGTACTTTGACTCATGACTCATAATCATATATAAATTCCGGTAGTTTGTGACAACAAGTGCCATCATTGACAATGGATATAGGTACCTATCCTTAATATCTACAATCTACATGCTAAGGACGCAGTTATCATTGCATTAAAACTGTCTAGTGTCCACACTCTACAAAGTACCTAATACGGTAATACGTTAGACAGTAATTCTGGACTACCCGAGTAATCAGTTTTTAGATTCGAAACGATGAATGTATTGGTTTTACAATGATGTGTGTTTTTTTTTTATTTTTTTTGTGTCTGTGTACACGATAAGTAGTCGAAATAATGCTTCGATTTTCAACTTCAGTATCTTGTTCGATTGGAAAGTGAATATCGTTGGTGCATTGGGGAGGTCAAAATTAAGGAAAAACGGGAATTTTTACGCAAAATCTGTTTTCGAGAAAATCGATTTTGGTTTTTGGTGTAACTTTAAAACAAATGACCGTAGATACATGAAATTTTTAGTGGTTGTTTATATTTGCATTTTCTATACACGATAACATTTTCAAAATATTTTGTTTTCTTTTGAACTGTATAGGGACATTTTCAGTTTCCAATTTTACTAGTTTATTTTTTTATGAATATCAATAAAAATTTATTTGTTGAGTAAGAATACTTGACAATTTAGTACAAGGCTCCTACTATATTGTTTCAAAGACAGATGAAAAATATTAAAAATTGTTAGTCACAGTTTTTTTTTTAAGCATTTAAAGTTCAAAAAATGACAAAATATGGAAAAATCACGAAAATTTGCAAATTATTTCGAGTTAGAAATTCATAAAAATTTTTCTTTTTAAATCTAAGATATGAAAATGTAATACAAGGTTCCTTATAATATTTCCTACATTTATCAAAAAAAAAAATTCTATAAGAAAGTCAAATTAAATTTTTATGAGCGTTTGAAATTCAAATTTTTATAACATTGGATATTCACTCGATTTCTCATGTGGCGATTTCCTTATTTTATTGTAATTCAAAAACGAATTACTGTAGATACATGAAAATCACGAAAATTTGCAAATTATTTCAAGTTAGAAATTCATAAAAATTTTTCTTTTTAAATCTAAGATATGGCAATGTTATACAAGCTTGCTATGAAGTTTGTCTACCATTATCAAAAAGAAATGTCTATAAGAAAGTCAAATTAAATTTTTATGAGCGTTTGATATTCAAATTTTTACAACATTGGATATTCACTCGATTTCTCATGTAGCAATTTCCTTATTTTGTTGTACTTCATAAAAGAATAACTGTAGATACACGAAAATTTCATTGAATGTTTATATTAGCATTTCCTATATACCATACAATTTTGAAAATATTTTGACTCTTTTTGAGCCGTTTACGGACATTTTCAGTTTTCAATTTTTTTAGTTTTTTTTTTCTTTAAATATCAATAAAGTTTTATCTGTTGGGCCAAAAAGTGTAAAAAATTAATACAAGGCTCCTGATATATTGTTCCAATAGCAATTAAAAAATATTAAAAATACATAGGCACAATTTTTTTTTAAGCATTTAAAGATCGCATTTTAACAAAATTTATCAAAATCTCGAAAATTATCAAACATCGTAATTAATAAATTATAAAATGTTCAGTTTTTATAGCTAAGGATTGAAAATTGAATAAAAAGATTCTCATAAATAGTTCATACTGTAGCCAAAAAATCTAAAAAATATATGCTCACAGTTATTTTTTACAGACATTTTAAGTTCAAATTTGGGACGAAATTACATATTAAAAAACCTAGCATACCTATTTTCGTTATTTTGTTGTGAGTGTATAATACTATTCGTGGGTACTATTGAAACTTCTAAAGTACACTATATTATATATCTATGATAGTATCAGGGTTTGTTATTGATGTATAACGTGTTATAATACCTAATGGATATTGTGATATGATTAATTTGGAATTTATTATATGTAAATTTTTTTTTAATACCATAGATATGTATATAATTGTCTTAAACCTAGACTGACATACCGTCTTCGCTCAGAATCGTTTTTCTTATACAATGATATTGTATCATTGAATTCAAATTTAATAGCATCCATTATACAGTGACCCACTTGTAACCTACTGTACAAAAGAGCGATATCCACTTACCCACCTTTTTTTATTCAATATGATAAACATAAAATATTGTGTTTAAATAATAAAATCAAAATTTTAAAAATGACCTGCCTGTGTAGTGTGGGTTTTTTTAATTACGTTGTAACACGTCTACCTGGGAAAATGTCTAATATATTTATATTAGTATTTAGTAGGTATATTTATATTTTGACACTACATAGTTTAAAAATAGTGTAATTACTGCCTAAAAAACATGTCTGAACAGCCTCTGTTATAAGTTATAACATAATATAACAGCTGTTAATATTTTTATCAATACTTTATAGTATATAGAGTCTAGACAGATTGTACCTATAAAAACTTCTATTAAAAACCTATTTTATAAAAATACCTTATTAAAAAAATATAGATTAATAAATGTTCACTTGTTCAAAAAACTTAATAGTTGAATACAACATTCATCGTTAGTTGTTAATAGTGTAATTTAAAAAAAAATAAGCATAAAATAACAATAGTTTTTAACAACTGAAGTTAGCATTTTGACAGACTTCGTCAAAATCACGTCAATAAATACAGGGGCTCCGCCTCTCAACAAAGCTTGAAGATCGGAGAACCTAACATATACGAAAATGTGGGGATGTGTAAACGAAATTAAAATACGTATTGTTGCTGACATACCTCTATATATTGTCATCCGGCGCCACCCGGTGAGGAGAGAGGGCACGCCGTGTCGTGGATGGGGACGACGGTTTCGGCCGAGGGCTCAGTCTGTGAGTCCGCGTTCAAGAGCACTGAACTAGTCTTCATTTTTATATATTATATTGTGTAAACCTTAATGAATAAATCGTCTTACGTATAATATTTTCATTCGTTGCCGTTGCTTGATCGATATTATATATAACCGCGGGTTCGTACTTCGTATTACGGTCACCCGCGTCCTATTCTTACCTACAGAGCATCGCATCACTGGCTCAGTCCAAAAAGGAAACAGAACAACGAGATCCGAAAAAGGTAAGCAAAGTTAAATTATCTTGTCAAACCTCCAAAAAAAAAAATCACGTTGAATATAACCTCCCTACAAAACTAGGATATCAAATCGAAATAAATAAAAGTAGGGAAGGGCTCCACGTGTTAGTACACGATGCAATCTGGTCAGAAAACTATCAACGAACAAACTCATCGGGGAACTCAAGGGGGGAACTAACCAAAAGAGGGTTAGGAACAATGGGCACAAAGTCAGAACTTTATCTAATACTTGAACAACACATTCAGACAACAGAGGGGAAAAACCCACAAACCTACGTTTTTGTCCTCCCCCAACCACCAACAACTCACACCGATTACAACACAAAACCCCGGGGCAGAGGCACAGGGAAAGTCAACACCAACAGACACGCCTACACAATCAGTGGAGGTGGGACTCGCAGACAGAATAGTCATGGCGTCAACTTACTCACAATCTGAAAAAACGTACTTACGAATATAGTTACCCGAGAAGTACCGAAAACAATTAGACAAACGCAAAACAACCGTAAGAATGACCGACGGACACACCCAGGAAACAGACGGAAGATGCTGGATCGCAACACTGGAGTTGGTATTCGAAGCGGAAATACTAATGGAGCTAGTGACAGACACCCTACATCCGGGTCAAACCAGAGGACATAATGGCTACAAGAATACCAAGGCAACCCTGGGAAGTACTCAGAATGGACGGGGTTTTACCATCGATAATGTTCGCCATAAGAAATAGGAAAAACCAAAACACAGGCTACTCTCTCACCGAATTAGTTCTAGGCATAGAATCCAGAGCACCGGGGGACTGGTTTCTCCAGGGGGGGAGCGGAAGTCAGGGGGAAATTCCCGGACCGGGAAAACCGCTAACTGAACACACCAACAACCACGGCCGGGTAGCCTCAGACATAAAGTAGGCGACTGGGGCTACTACCGGAACCACCCACTATCCAAGGGGGACCAAGGCTTCCACGCAGGTTTCGCCCCAAAATGGTAGGGACCAATTAGACTAAAAAAAAATACCTTTGAGGCGGGGTATTCATCACTGAAACCAACCCAGAACACAAACTATATAGTTCATGCTTTAAACGCATGCCAACTACGCGAGAACCCAATAGTGACCAAATTACTATTACAGATGGCAGCCCAACATCCATATCGGGAGGAGCCAGGAAGATGTTTCAACCTGACAAACTTGGACACCCGTCCCGGCTGGTCAATGGTGGACAGCGTTCAGGCGCTGCTGCAAAGCGCCGCAGCCAATCTACTAAGGGCCAAGCGCTTGGCCGGACGGGCCGCGGAGATCCCCACGTTGGAGGAATTGACCAGGACCTGGCAATTATGGAACCACAGACCCGTTACCAGAAGTATGCAGACCCATTCCCCAGTGGAAGAGGTGATAGGGGGAGCTGTGACGCACAGAGGAGGGACGCAGACGAGACCACCCCCAACACCCATACCAGGACAAGTGGCGAGGTGGGCCGTAGCGGCAACCGCATCAGAGCTGATAAAGCACGAAGTGGTGCAGATAGCGTTGAATCGGGGGGTAGTTACCCTACCGTCCAGGGAAAGCCGGGTGTCCAGAATTGACAAGCGGACCCCGTACACCGCTCGACCGGCCAACGACGCACCAGCCCGGCTGAGCCGGGTGTCCAGGATTGACAAGCGGACCCCCCACACCGCGCGACCGGCCAACGACGTACCAGCCAGGCTTCGATCTCCAAGGCGTGCCAGCAGGACCCTCACTGCAGAGGTACCAGTGGGGCCCGAACCCGCGACGCCCCCGAGGGAATCCCAGGACAACGCGGTACTGATGGTGCCAACAACTACCACCAGGAATGCTACCCCGAGGAGGACCCGGAGCGTCCAGGTAAAGGCGCAGCTGAAAGCGGTAGCCCAACCACCCCCCGCCAATCCAGAGGCCGAGGAAGACGACGACGTCCTGCAGCTCAGCATACACGACGATGACCTAAAGTACATCGATCAGCTGATGGACGAAATCATGAGTGATTGAGCACTCATGCCCCGCACCCAACGACCGGTCTGGGGTGGGGGAGCACGTCGCGGTCGCTACCTAACATACAGGTACCGCACACGACGCGCGCTCTGCTCGACCGGTCGCTGGTACGCTTGACCCGGAGAGGAGAGAGGGCACGCCGTACCGTGGGTGACGACAGGCACTGATACAAGAGGGGGGGCTATGGGGGCTGAAGCCCCTCTTAGACTAGGACTTTTGTACTTAAAATATTTCAAAACTTAAACTAAATGCCCATGCTTTTATGTACTTTAAGTACATTTTTTTGTCTAGCCCCTCCCCCCTTTTTCATTTCTAGATCCGCGTCTGGGAGGGGATGACGGTTTCGGCTGGCGTCCGGGCCCACGGTGCGGCGTGCTCCTCTGTCTTTGAGTCCTCGGTCGAGAGCACTGAACTCGTCTCCATTTTTATATATATTGTGTAAGCCTTAATCAATAAATTGTCTTAAGTATATTATCATTCGTTGCCGTTGTTTGTTCGATATTATAAGACATCGCATCGCGTCAATTTTAATATGTATATGTAGGGGATGAGTGGTTCTACAATTCTTACCGGGCAAACAGATATTTTTAGGCCACATAAATTTATTTCAGGCCATTTTTTTTCAAATTTAATTTCTTACCATTTATTGTCTTATTGCTAGATGTGTGCTAACCATTTTTTGATTGGGTGAAGTATAAAACAATTTATTTAGCCTACATAATATTGGTAGAAGATATTATCAATTTATTATTGTACACATTTTATATTCTTCCTTGCTTCTATTGTAAAGTAGGAAGTATCAACCATAAAAATGTTTATTCATTATAATATCAATACAAAAAAAATGTTTATAATGTAACTATAATTTTATATATTTATTACTTTTATTTCTGAGTTATTTTTATATTATTTTATCTGTTTTTGTTAGGTTTTACTACACTTATTTAGTTTTTAGTTTTTATCTGATAGGTATGTTTCCTTTATATAATTTGTAAAAGCCAAAAGGGTATATTATATACCCGTTGGTAAACAACATAAATAAATAAATAAAATCAAGTATTTGAACCAAAAAACTCCCTCAAAGTAATCTTATAACTGAACACCGGTATTATTTTATATTTACACAAATATATCACTACTATAGTAATTTATTTTTTATACTTATATATTATAAAAACACTTAAGCTTCTTGTTTTAGGAAATTGATTTATTTATTTATTTATTTATTTTAAACGTCATACAGCTTTTACAATATATTACTTATTAATGAATATACATTATAACATTATACATTATTATATTTATTAAATAATATTTTACAATAACAATTTTCTTAGTAAATTACATTTACTGCCCAACTAGTTAGTAATCACATCGTTATCCGATTCTATGAGTATTGATTTTTCAATTGACATTAACATAAATTCTTCTAGATGTTAATTAGTCATTGAGTTCCGTAGTCTATTTTTTATGTGCTTCAATGTGGAAAAATATTACTCACAGGACACTTGAGTAAGTGGTAACGTTAATAGATATTTATAAGTTAGAGTTAATAAGCTGTATGCATTAGAAAATAAGTTGTACTTAACAAGTAATCTGTAACAACAAATGGCACAATTTTTACAAGTAGAGTTGCAAGGTTTTAATTGATTTTCTAGGTCTGACGTGTTGTGTCTAATAATACTGAAAACATGTTTGCTTCATTTACTTTTTTTGTTATTGTTGATTTAATTAAATTAGAAATGATGGTTATTATGTTATCTATTGTATAATGACTAAGAAATGTAACCAATTTTCCAATGCCTTTTGAATCTTTATCATGATTTCTTTGACTTTTCTTTATGACCTTATTTAAATGTTTGTTTAATACAACATCATACTAACTTAGACAAATTATAAGGTCAAGAAAGTTTCCATGATCTAAAAATTCATTATTAAGAAGGTAGGCAGCTTAATTACTTTTCCCTCTAATGGTAAGACCGCGTTTTCCAATCAACTTTCTTACATTTATTATTCGGTCAAGTACTTGACGACACTTTTTCACTTCTTCTCTTGGTAAACGTTTTTAGTTGACAAATAATAAATTCCCAATACCTTTTTTTTGGATATGGATAAAGTAAGCTTCTGAACAAAGATCATGATTTTTACTACTTTCATGTTCTTTAATACGTTGATGAACGTGTCTCCAATTATTAAAACCAATAGTGAATGTATTATTTTCAGTAGCAAATGCTAAACAAACTGAGCAGTAAAGTTTACCTTGATTTAAGTCATAAGTACACCAAGTTATTAATGCATCATTTTGTTAAGGGGATTGGTGGCGATCAGTTATTTTAGCCAAAAGATACCAGTCTTTTGTCAATCGTACTGATCGACCTAGAAATGCGATAATACTTTTTAAAACTGATTTGAATTTGTGATTATGTCTACTTGAGATCGGTCAGTCCACTTTTCCAAATTTTACCCCCCAACTCCTATAAATTTGGTTTGAATAATTTAAATTTTAGGAATTTTCAAACGTTAATTTTTCGGAATTAAAATCAAAAATCTTAAAATGTGGACTGACCGATCTCAAGTCGACATCATAACGAATTCAGATTAGTTTTCTGAAATATTATCGCATTATTAGATCAATCTGTAGGATTGACATAAGGTACATAGTTTTAATCAAATAAAACACACGTTCTGGATTGTTCACGCTCGCGACAACGCGGTGGTGACTTGTGCCCGCACGCGCCGCGTGCGTAGGTGATTCTTCGAAACCATCGGTTATCCTTATCGCATGCCACGGTAAACATGGTACGGTGCGGGGACACGTACACACACTAATAATCATTTACTACACACACAGTCTCAAGTCACACACGCACGCACTATAAATATTGCCTATACTGAACTCCTTAAATATACGCCGCCACCGATCCCCTTAAAAAAAACTTTCTTATAATCAAATGGAAGAAATTTTGCTTTATCTATAGGCTGAATCGGATGAACATTAAAGAAATAATCTAAATGATTAGGCAACGATCTTTTAAATTTTTCAAAATCAGTACTCGCTTCAATTTTGTCATCAATAACAGATAATGTTGAATTCGGTTGATTTTTATTCTAGCCTAAATAAATAATATAGATTATAGAATATAGCATATTACTATAATATTAGTCTATTAATGTTTATTTAAGATGGTTATATAATTGGTGTGTAAAGTAAGTATAATAAATTATATATATCAGTATATTCTATTATAACTAACTAGTTCATGAATTATATGAATACAAATTAATAAATACATTACTAATATAAACTGTAAATAAACTGAAAACCAAAAATTATAATTATTCAAAGTAAATAACTATTAATTAATACTTGAATAAATACCTTGATTTTGATTATCAACATTTGAAACTGTGGCATTATTAAATGTACCAGAATCTACATCATTCATTTTTTGTTCGATGCTAAAAGTTTCTTGGTTTTCATTCATAGGTTCACCAACATCTTAAATAAGAAAAATATTAAAATTGTGTCACTGGATATATTTTTTTTTTTGTAAGTAATAGATATCATATGCTGCTTAATTTTATTATTTTAATAACTATTTAGTCACAATGATAAAAATTATTATTTACTTGACTTCAGAACACGTTTGACACTGAAGCCAATCAACACGCCACACCAGGTCACATATTATATTTTTCTTCATATATTATTACTTAATATAAAACTTTAAAAAAAAAATGAAACATAAACTCTTAAATACAAATTAAAACTAGTATAGTCATATAATAATAATAATAATAAGTCATAAACTGGGAATAAATACTTAATTATTTTCGAATTTTTTTGTAAATTATAATTAATGAATTGTAAGAATATAGTGTTGTTAATATATTAATTTAAATTTAATGAGAAATATTTTTTATCATATAGATGTCTAATAATGTCTAACTTCTATGTTATTCCTTTAACATCGTTAAAAGTTTTTAAATTTCACTCAAAAGATTTTTTTTTATTAGTATCTAATTAATAAATATTATTCAAATCAATTCAACAAGGAAAATACATACATAAAACAATTAAATAAGAGTTCTATCCCATGTCATGCTTATAGTTGCATCTGATTGCGAACAGTTGTAGTTATGAATATTGATTAGATTATAAATGTCAATGAAGACCAAATTTATAGAGTTCATAAGATTCTAAAATGTTATCTGATATTTTAATTTATGGATTTATTAAATTAGATTATTAAATATAATATTTTATTATGTCTTCATTATAGCTATTTTGATAAAAAAAAAAAAAAATAAACTCACGGTCAAGCTAATTATATTATTGATAGTTATTTAATTAATGGACTTTAGCATATTGTCATGAGGCACATGCAGGTGCATCTACTATAGCATATTATTATAATTCTACTAAATTTAAGATCACAGATTTATTTTTATTTTATGTTTTTGAGATGGGGAGGCTATAATAGTTGTTATTCTAAAAGTAATATTACAATAATATTAATAATAATAATATAAGAGTAATGGATATTGTGCTGTCCACGCCTTCTTTTGCTTTATTGGTGTAATAATACCAATATAATAGTGGTATTATTATGATGACGTGGTGTTACATTCCAACAGCACATTATAATAAAAGACCTATTATTCTCTATACAAATAATGTCTCGGCGACGAGACTGTCGTTGGCGACATTCCGGGTTTCAATAAATCCCCCTGGGGGGGGAATCATGCAAAGGAAATTGAAATGTGACTTATGCTGCTTTGAAAACCATACAACTATTAATATGTGTAATTCGTTATAGAGCAATTATTTGTATAATCTTCAAACACTCTATGTTTATGCTGTTTAATGAAGTTCCTCTAGGGTCATTAAACAATTTACCTATCATATTCGAATTAGTAGGTAAGTTACTGAAACTAAAGATGTACATTATTACATCGTTATAATAAGCACTACCTATGTATAATTAATGTAGTTT